CTTCTGAATCATAGGAAAGGAGGGTCACCATGATCAACTCCTTCTGAATCATAGGAAAGGAGGGTCACCATGATCAACTCCTTCTGAATCATAGGAAAGGAGGGTCACCACGTCCAACTCCTTCTGAATCGTAGGAAAGGAGGGTCACAAAGATCAACTCCTTCTTAATCGTAGGAAAGGAGGGTCACTACAATCAGCTCCTTCTGAATCGTAGGTAAGGGGGGTCACCACGTCCAACTCCTTCTGAATCGTAGGAAAGGAGGGTCACCATGTCCAACCCCTTCTAATTCGTAGTAAAGGACGCTCACTACGTACAACTCCGTCTGAATCGTAGGAAAGGAGGGTCACTACAATCAGCTCCTTCTAAATCGTAGGAAAGGAGGGTCACCACGATCAACTCCTTCTAAATCGTATGCAAAGAGGGAAAGGAAAGGACGCTCACTATTCTGAATCGTAGGAAAGGAGGGACACTACGTACAACTCCTTCTGAATCGTAGGAAAGGAGGGTCACTAAGATCAGCTCCTTCTGAATCGTAGGAAAGGAGGGTCACCACGTCCAACTCCTGAATCGTAGGAAAGGAGGGTCACTACGATGAGATCCTTCTGAATTACAGAAAAGCCTGAGGAGAGCTAAGTCTAGGCCTTTCACGGCCACAGACCACTGGAAGTTGAATAGGAAGTACTTCCTTTATAAACTCCATTGCAGGGGAGTGGCCTTAGAGGGGACTCGTTCAGGTTATATCACTGACGTGTGATCTTCACATTCAAAAACATTTTATCTGGCTTTATAACTTAGGGCTGGGCGATATAGAAAAAAAGCTTATCGATTAAAAAAAAATGCATATTGATCGATATCGATAATTATTGAAAAGATTTGAAACCATATTTTATGTGCAGCTCTCCCTGGACATTTTATATTGCTAAATGATTTAATTTTAATAAAGAACACAAACACAGACTTCCAATTAAATATTTATTTAACCAACTTTTTTAACCATAACAGAATTGTTTTAAAGAAAAATAACTTAAGAGACCTGAGTTATGTTATTAAATATTGACAGCGCTGTGTTTGAGAAAAACTTTCGGCGCGGAACTTCGTATTGTGGATCCAGAGTGGCGAGCAGCTGTTTGAACCCAGGTTTTTCAACAGCAGACAACGGCAGCATATCCTTTGCTATGAAGCATGTTACAGCATGAGTAATGTCCTTGTGCCGCTTGGACGCTTTGTTGTATTTATCACAAACCAGGAAGCCCAATTTAGCCTGCGACGCCTGCTTTGATTTGGCAGAAATTCCCGAATATTCCTCGGAGGATTATGCAGAGCCGCGCCGGGGCCTACACAGCTCGTACTGCGGCGGGTGTGAGCGGCTGAGATGATAAAACAAGTTGGTTGTGTTATCAGACTTTGTTTTCACTGGTTCCCTACACATTTTACAGATGACTGTGGTTTGTTTTGTGTCCGACTTGCCATAACAGAAATACTGCCAAACTACATAAACCCTTCTTTGGAACAATTTCCTCCGCCTCTCCTTGCTGCGACATCTTCATGTGCTCTGTGTTGTGGTTTGAGAGGGCGGCGCTTTGTGACGGCGTGTCTGGGTCCGCGATTGCGATTGGTTAGGAGGAAGTAGTGACTAGCATAAACCTACATGCTAGGCTACAATGAGAAGGAAGGAAAACTGCGTTTCTTTATCGAACTTTTATCGACACTCTTTTTTTCTATTGCGCCACACATCTATCGATCGATATATATTGTTATTGAATTATCGCCCAGCCCTATTATAACTTTTTACTTAGCTTATTGAGTTTTTAACTTAAACTATTAAAACAACCATATTCACAGTAGGCAATACTGTCCTTCTTGTGGTATTCCACTCAGAAACAGAGATCGCAGACCCCACAGACTACAGAGTTTTGACTTGTTTGTTGCAAAATGGTGGTTATATCTAGTACCAAAAATGGTAAGTTAGATGATAAAGAATTAAAAGAGAGACTTTAATTTGATAAATTGCTCTCATACTGATAGCACCTGTAGTGCTACCATCTGCCTTCTGAAGGTACCTCAATCCATCAGTGGGAACTAAGAAGAGTATATCACACTTACAAACATTCATAGACATGGCTCTCCAACTGATCTGACAAGGACAGTATTAATCAGAGATGCAGTTTGGACTCTGGAGGGGCTGCAGAGATTCACAGCTCAGCTTTGAGAATCTGTTCATGGGAAAAGTATGTCCTGTGTCATCCCATACTCAACTCTTGTCACAATAAAGAAGCTTTAGTTGGAAGAAACAAATGCTGTTGTGCCACCAGACATGGAAGACCAGGAAAAACTAAAATCTAATCTTTGGGCATGCATGGAATGGACAAAACAAACAAGCAATCAGCTGTAAACTCACTGTTGCCATGGTAAAACATGGAGGTGGCAGCATCATGTTGTGGTTTTTATTTGGCGGAGACAAGGGAGCTAATCAAATATGATGGGAAGACAGGGTGATACTGAAAGAAAAGCTGTTGAACTGAAGAGGACCTGAGACTGAGGTAGAGATTCATCGACACAACAAAAAGAGCAAAGAAATGTCTTCAATCAAAGGATCCGTCCGTCTGTGTCCTTCTTTGTCTCTTGGGAAAAACGTTCTGCTATGTCACAAGACATCCCCCAATCCAATAAGCTGTAATCTTGTTAGGGTTGTTAGTCAGTGAGGTGGTTTTAAGCGCTTTCTCCGCTCCTACCCTGCAACCCTTCATCAGACATGTTGATGGTGTTTTAGTTTTATGCAAACCACCGAAAGCGCCACCATCAAACACGGAGCAGGTTCTTTTTGACACCATCAGTTAACAGTGCTGTCCTGTCTTTTTCCTGCAATTTAATCACAGGTATTTACATAGAAACAAATTCCAAGGCCTGCAGCAGCTACTGTACATTATTCTTACCAGCCTTTGCTGTGAGACGCTGCAGTAGAACACAAGACAGCAGCAGCCAGATAATTATTAATACTAGGGGAAATATTTCATAAGATGAGCTTGCAGAGGGTTTCCCCGGTGTGTGGCTAAAAATTTTGACAAACAACAGCTTGATTACAAAACAAACAAAACCAAAGTAAATGCAAAACAGGAAATGGATGGCTGCCACTATTACAACTCAGGTTTAGTATCTTTCCCATTTTGTTGCACCTCTTGGCAACATTATTGTCTTTTTTTTCTTCTCCTCCCTTTGCGTGTCCTTCACCCATGCTTTTCCTTTTTTCCTTATTACTGCATATCATCTTTATTGGTTCTTTCTCTATTTTACGGGCCGAAAGCCCATGAAAGCGCAACAGAAGTGCAGCCTTTGGACTCTGACATCTGCACTGCTTGAGGCCTCCTGAAATAACCTCCCCATTGTGCAAGTACCTCAAAACAGCCTTTGATGAGAGAGGTGTGTTAAAGTCTGCACAAAGCTTCAAGTGTTAACCTTTCCGAAGATTAAGGGGAGCACAATAGGTACTGTTTAGAGTTTGCTAGGATTTGAGAATAAACACAAATTATACATTTAAAAAAAAAGAAACGTTTAGGGAAGCAAATAAGCCAATGTGTTTTTGTTAATCATACCGTCCACGAAACAAAAAGTAATATTTGTTTACCATTCAAATGTAATAACGGTCAAAACACCTGTTTTGTTTTTTAAGTAAATGCATTATTCCTCGTTTAAAAAACGTATAAAAAGAAAGTTTTGTAATTTTATCATAAATAATATGGATGTTATTCCTAAACATGAGTGATGTTTGAAGAAAAAAAAACGCATTAATGTAGTTTTAGTTTTTTCTTTCAAAATAAAATAAAAAGGCAAACATTTTTAATAAGAATAAACGTCATTAAGCCCGTATTGTATATTGGTTACATATTATAAAGAGGTTTAACTTTAATGATAACAGGTCGCTTATTGATAAAATGAACAGGGAATTGGTTATGTTATAAAGCCAGTTGTGTTGATGTAACTCCCATATTTTAACCGTATTTATGCAGACATTAGTTTCTATTTTATTTGTGAGGTGCCAGCCGGAAGCTGTTACCGTGTCTCTGTCTCCTACCTGCGGCTCTCTATCTGCTGCGCCTCCTTCCTCCGTCCTTCCTCCCTGGTACTCCGTTCAGCTCTTCAGGTGTATCTTGCATCTCCGGATATCATCTGAGAGGTTTTATCTGCTGAAATAAACTGGCTCCTAGTCGTAGTTTTCTCACCAAGCCGTGAAGAAAGCCACAGTAAGCTGCGCGGTCCTCGCAGCGCTGCAGCAGCGTGTCGGTCTGTGGAGGTGGGCTGAGCTTTTACCTATCAGCCCACTGTGGGCTGGGGATTAAAACCCACAGACGCCCACAGCAACAACCTGCACCAAGTTCACCTGGAGTTAAGTGGATAATTACCAAAGAGAGTTTAAAATAATCCTATAAATTATATATATCTATATATAGCTATGGATATATATACAGTACTGTAGTTGTAAACAAATATATATACATATTAGTATATATATTATATAAAGATATATACATAATATTATTTTTTTAAATAAATTTTTTATATATATTTAAAATTATATATATATATATATACCATAGTATTTCTTTATTAACCTAAAGCATAGTGCTTTAGGTTAATAATAGCCTATATTAATTAGGCTATGTATGCTTCCAAAAAAAAGGAAAAACTTCATCATTCCCCTTGTTTTTTTTTTTGTTTTTTTTTTTACAACTAAACAATAATATCCACAT